ATATATGTATGTATATGTATGTATATATATGTATGTATATATCTGTGTGTGTGTGTGTGCGTGTGTGTGTGTGTGTGTGTGTGTGTGTGTGTGTGTGTGTTTAAAGGAAAGTATAATATATATGTATTTAAAGGAAAACAACCAAGATCACTCGGAATATATTTAAAGGAAAGCCCGGAGGAGAATTATTGATAGCCTATAGCGAGTGGGTTCAAAGATCCCACTCACAAGGTATATCACACACTGAAAAAGGCTAAGAAATACATGTATACCTCAAAAAATTAACCAAAAAAGCTTACAAAAATAATAGAAATACTCATAGGGCATAAGAGGGGGAGAGAAACTGCATTGGATCACCGCAATACTACCAGCAAAAACCCAAATAACACCTAATTAAAACCACGAATAACTCCCCGCAGGAAGGGCGAAATAACACCATGGGTTTGAAAAACTCGTAGGGGAATAACACCGCTTGTGTGAGGGAGTCACCGAGGATTAACACCATGTACCGCAACAACACTTACAGAAACGCCGACTGCACCGCACGGAAGAACACGAGGAATACCACGACACTACACCCGCGGAATACCACCAAGATCACCCTAGAGTACCACCACCGATAACACCAAGTTGTGATGCGCTAACAACCCCCGCGATAAAACTTTAAATACTTCATAGAATAACACCTGCGGTACTTCCCAATAACCCCAAAAGAAAACAACCAAAATAACTCCTAAGATAACACCCAAAATAATAGATATCCTCAAAGAAAGCCGCAATTCGACTAAAATAACCCTGAGATAACACTCAAAATAATTTATCGCATTAGTAATACAACCAAAATAAACAACCGCCAGTTAATAGTCCTATTAAAACTTTTGACAAAAGAAGTTAACCAGAGCTCGATAGATAGGGGGTTAATCCCATGATTGTTTACCTCTCCCTCTCCCCCTGGTTCTAGGGAGAGAGTCCAGTAACAAATGGTTTAGTAGACTGCCTCTCGAAACTAGCATTGTATCATCTTGTAAACTCCTGATTTCATGAATTCCTTTGTTCTTCTTCTTAGCTTGTTGTAACTACCATTCCTCTGTCAAAGCTTGTTCTTCTTCAATGGGGAACCCACCTTGAGAGTTATGCAAATCCATAAATTGTTGAGTAGGTGCAAGCTGTTGAGCACTTTGATTGTGGTGTTCCTTCAAGGAATGAGTACCCTCTTTGGCAGTAATTTCTTCTCTAGCAATTAGTAATTCCATCACAACTAGGGAATTATCTACTACAACCAAGTGATTAGTAGCAGTGTGAGAAAGGTCGTGTGGAACTGGTTGGTGAGGAGTAGGCTGATGAGATACTGTGTCACTGAACATAGTGATTAGTAGCAGTGTGAGAAAGGTCGTGTGGAATTGGTTGGTGAGGAGTAGGTTGATGAGATACTGTGTCACTGAACATTGGTGGGAGCTCATCTATTGTAGTAGGAACAACAGGAGTATCATTTCCTTCTTCTTCAGCAATGTGTGGTTCTAGTGGGGGATAAATAGTGAGGGATTGCGTCCAGGGGAAATTGGATCAGGGACAATAATCTCTATAGGAACAACAGGAGTATCATTTCCCTCTTCTTCAGCAATGTGTGGTTCTAGTGGGGGATGAATAGTGAGGGATTGCCTCCAGGGGAAATTGGATCAGGGACAATAATCTCTCTAGATGTAGTTTCCAGCATATCTGTAGGCGGAATACAAAGTTCTTGAGTAGTTTGTCGAGGCACATTAATCAGTTGGTGATTATTGCTTGGAATAGAAGTCCGTAATTCTGGATGTACATGATAGCAGTGTTCCTAAGAGTGACCAAGCATCCAAAAACTAGTGCAATTTGTAGGATGTTGTTCGGTGGTTCTTATCCAAATCTCTTGAGGGGCAAGACTAATAATATCCATTTCAACAAGAACTCTGCAGTAGATGGCCTAGACAAGTTAACTGTTGAGGAATCCATTTTCAATGGCCTTCTAAAGATAGCTACGATCAAGAAAGGTGCTTCTGTTTTTAAACAGGTTAAATTTCAAACTCAGAAGTTTGATCCACACTGAAATAATTGGTAGTTTAGTTTGGGGATCAAAGTGGATGGACCATTTTAAAAGCTTCATCATCTTATGTTTGATTCTAACTATTTTCCTAGTTAACAGACGAGCATAGTACTCTTTGGTAGATATTTGTATTATAATCTGTCTCCCATCCAGGAGACCAATTTGCTACGAACGCACGAGTTTTATAAGATCTAACTCCATCTGTATCAAATCAAGTTTCGGGTGACCATAGATGAACTATATAATCTTATAAAAGGCAAATTCATTGATGTAAAAGGGAAGATACAAAGATTTTAGTGAGTGGGTACAAAGAGCTCACTCACTGAGAATACAACTCACTCAAATTGAGACTTAAAAAAAAAAACTCGTTGACCCGACCCACAATTACTTGTATTTTTAATCTCCAAAATATTGCCAAAAGTTTAACCCAAATTATATTCAGTGACTAGTGTGAATAAACGTAATGATATGAAAAATAAATAATTAAACTTCCTAATAAAGGTACTACGCAAATATACAGATCGTTTCAAGTAATATAGAATTTTCCTCAAAAACCTCAGTATCGATCCCACAAGGATAATTGAACTATTTAAATTGGCTTGTTAAACTCAAATGCAAATTCTATATAAAATTACAGATTTAAATGAAAATGAAATGATAGCAATGGTTGAGACTAAATTAAAGCAGATAAAAACAACTATAATTAACGGTTTACTAAAAGTAATTCTAATGAGTTTGAATAATATGTAAAGATTTTTCCCCTTGAAATGAGATATTAATCTATGTAGGACTCGAATGAGTAAAAATATGATGATGTATTGTCACAAATAGAAGTATTCTTATTCTTTACCCCCTCCCGTTGTTAGCAAGGAAAATTATCTAATTTGGAGTTTTTCGCCAGCTTGTGTAGTAGTGCTGATTAGATTCTGATCTCTCACCTCCAGATTACCCACTGTGTCCTCTTTACAGGACTTACTAGGGATTTTTACAATCCAAAATCTAAACTGAATTGGAAAAGAATTTAGTATGTCACCATGAAAACATCAATTCTACGCCCATCAAAACGTATTTCCCTATCTATTTGCACTCCCCCTTACGAGATTGTAATGTCTTTTCCCATAATGAAGTGTGACACTCACTAATTGGATGAAATCATAGCCCTCCCGGGTCTTAATGTTTCTCAACGGATTTTAACATCACAAGTGGCCAAATTGTAAAGTCAATGAAGAATTGGTGAAAATGTCTTAACAATTTTTAAAAGTAAAAAAGAAATGTTTAAATCATTCTCATCCCACAAGATTAATTCCCAAGGGCAAGGAGAATAATACAAAATCACCAACTATGTATTGAAACTCAAGTCTTAGAAACAAACACTTAAACACGAATAGAAAATACTTTATGTCTTCTCCCCAACACAAATTCTGGAGTCTTCCTAAAGAAATCTCCAAACTCTTACTATTACAGCACAAAACACACTAAAATATACACTTAAACACTAAAGTGAGATTTCAAATGCTGCCAAAAAGTCCTCTTTTTCATCCCCT